TGAGCTTTGGCCCAGCTTGTGGGGCAGGGGGTGCTTCATGCTGCCGAACCGAGGGGGTTCAGGCACCTGGGAGCCTGGGGCAGGGGTTGCTTCATGCTGCCGAACCGAGGGGGTTCAGGCACCTGGGAGCCTGGGGCAGCGGTGCTTCATGCTACCGAACCGAGGGGGTTCAGGCACCGGGGAGCCTGGGGCAGCGGTGCTTCATGCTGCCGAACTGAGGGGGTTCAGGCACCTGGGAGCCTGGGGCAGGGGTTGCTTCATGCTGCCGAACCGAGGGGGTTCAGGCGCTTGAGGCCTATTGTGCAAGTTGAAGCCTAAACATGGCTGCTTAGTTACCCCACTTCCTCTTGGGTCATGGGAGGGGAACACGTGACCCTTCGCCAAGAGGGTGATGCCCGGGGGCTGGCAGGTACGGCCCACATATGGGCAGGGCCCCAATCCTAACATCCCTTCCCCACCCATGTGCTTCACCCTGCCCTCCAGAGACCCCCCCCCCCACTGGGGCAGAGGGGGCTTGGGTCATCTCACCCCCTCCTTGAGGTTCCCCAGGCTTGGGCTGGAGCCCAGCTGTGCTGGGTGTTGGGGCCCTATGCTGAGACCCGACATGCTCGTGGGTCAGTTTGCAGAGCTGCCGTCTCCCCCCCCGCAGCTACGCCACGGACCTGGTGGTCTGCGTCGCCCTGGGCTGCGACATGTTCGACTGCGTCTTCCCCACCCGGACGGCGGTGAGTGGCTGCCCCCCGGGGATGGGGCGGGGGTCAGTCTGCCCGTCTACACCCTGGGCTGCTCTTCTGTGTGCTGGGTTGCCCCCATAGTGACGGGCAGGCAGTTGGGATCACACCCCACCCCACCCTGTAACCCCGTCCCAGTAACCAGCCGGATCCTTCCTCTCCCAGCGCTTCGGCTCGGCCCTGGTGCCCTGGGGCTCCCTGCCGGTGAAGAACAAGCAGTTCGCCAAGGACTTCCGGCCCATCGATGAGAACTGCGGCTGCCCCACCTGCCGCAGGTGCGTGCCCTGGGTCGGGGGAGCGGGGCCTCTCCCCGTGGCCCCATCCTCGCCCCGCAGACGGGCTGGGAGCCAGCTGCTGTACCAGGCACCTCGAAGTGGGTTGGTGCTCGGGGGCATTGGGTCCCCACCCTCAGCACAGATCTCCTGCCCTGGTGAGGGGGATGGAGGACAGAGCTGCCCCCACCCCAGGGTACTGACCCTGGATCCCTGCCTTTCTCTCGACCCTGGCTCTTCGCTGGGAGCTTCCGTGCGTCTCTCGAGCGCTGTCCCTTCCGAGGCTGCCCTGGGGGGGGTCGGTTCCTGTGGCCTGTGCCTCCTTCACCGCGGCGTTTCCCCATCCCAGGTACAGCCGGGCCTTCCTGCACGCCCTGTTCCGCAGCGAGACGGCAGCCCTGCACCTCCTCACCGTGCACAACATCGCCTACCAGGTGAGTCCCCAGGGCGCCCGCCCCCTGGAGTGCCACCCTCTGTGCCGGCCGTTAACCGCCCTGGAGGCTGGGGGGCGAAGCAGGGCTGTTACATTTGCTGCTGATCCCTCCCCGGAGCCAGGCGGGTTCTGGGCGTGTGGTGAGCCCGTGGGTCTGTCCCCAGTCGGTGCGGGAGGAGACATGGGCAGTATCCGAGCTGTTCAGGGTGTAATCTGCCCCCCCTCCCGTCCCTCTCCCCCAGCTGAATCTGATGCAGTCGATCCGGGAGAGCATCGTGGAGCAGAGGTTCCCGCAGTTCGTCCAGGACTTCATGAGAACCATGTACGGCAGCCAGGAGCGGTACCCCCCGTGGGCCGTGGAGGCCCTGGCCTCGGTCAATATCACTCTGGAGTGACGGCAGGTGGGGGGGAAGTTGTTTTACAAAGAAGATGAGCTTGGAGGGGCACAAAGACTCTTTGGCCTGGATTATCCCAGCTGCCCCGCACGTGTCCCCCCCGGCAGATCCCCCTCAGCCCCCTGTGGTTGGAGGGGTCAGACGTGCAGCCCAGCTGGCTGGAAGGATCAGGACCAAAGCCGGCCCCATCTTCGGAGGCCCGTGTCCAGCGATGGCTGCTCTTCCCAGCATCTCCTGCATGGGACAAGGGGGGTCGGCGAGTCTGCAGCACAGAGCTCCTCTGTGCAAAGGGTTCTGGGTAACACGGGAGCCCCAGTTCAGGATCGTGGCAGGAGCAAGGGCGGTGCCTGGATTGTGGGGTCCAAAGAGTTAAAACCCAGCAGCCTCCAAGCTCATTAAGAAAGAGGCGTGGGAATAATTTTAAACTTTGTTTTTGTTTTACTGTTTTTCCCCATCACCCCCCCTTTTGTACGCGGTTTGTAATTAACGGTTGGGTTTTTAATGAGGCCGAGCCAGGCCCCCCGCTCCGCTCCCCACTGGGCCAGGCATTGCCCCCCAGCCCCCAATAAAAGCGGTGAAGCTGCCAGTGGAAGTGGATCAGACTGTTGGGGGGGAGCTGACTCGTGGGGGGTGTGGCTGCCCCGGGGTGCAGACTGGGCCCCTCCACACCTGTCTGCTCGCAGGTGCACTAGATTCCCGGCCCCCCTCTGCCTGGAGCCACCCGCGGGGCAGGGCACACGCCTGCTTGTGACTCGGAGAGGTGGGCAAATCCCCTTACAGCAGGTACAGGGGGAGGGAGTCCCAGAGCTCTCCTGCGTCTCTTGGGTTGGGTCTGAACCTGCTCCAGGGCATCCGCCTCTAGGCTGTGCCGCAGGGGCTGTTTCTACAGGGGCTCTGCGCTCAGATGCGGCCACTTCTGGGGTGGGACCTGGCAGCTGTTCAGCAGTGGTACAGCACCAGCACTGGCAGCCCCTGCTCTGGGCATGGAGCGAGCAAGTGTGCTGGGAGGCAGGGCCAGGCCCGGGCTGTCTGGGGAAAGCTTTGGTGTTCACCTCCGACCTGTTCTGTGCCTGATGGCTGCTGATGTGGCTGGGGCCTGGGGCCAGGCTTGTGGGGTCTCCCCCCTCCCCCCTCCCCCCCCACCTCAGGGAGGATCTAGCCAGTCTCTCCACTGGTGGCCTGTTACAGACCCTACTGGGTGCCCCCATCCCTATGCACTGGGTGGGGGGAGGAGAGGAAGCAGGGCCTAGTGGTTAGGATATGAGCTGGGGCCTCCTGGACCTGGCTTCAAGGCCTTGCTCTGCCCACAGCCTCCCTATGTGGTCTTGCGCCAGTGGCTTAGTGTCTCCGTGCCTCAGTTTCCCCATGGGTACAGGGGCGCGAACAGCCCTGCCTCCCTGCTTAGAAGGGGAGCGTCTGCAGCGCTGTGAGGATCCCATTCCCCTTCCATACCCCCCCCTCCTGCCTCTCCGTCAAGCCCAGCCCCGGGGGGCTCCGCCACCTGCATCCCGGCAGGGGGTGATCTGCTCCGTCCGCGGGGGAACCAGCTGCTGGCAGTGGGAGGTTCCCCCCTCGGCCAGCAGGGGGCAGCAGGGGCCCGGCGAAAGCGGGGCTCTGGCGGCGCCGCAGCGAGCTCGGGAGGTTCTGCTGCGTGCCTGCGGGGGTGTTTACGGTAAGTGCGCTTCGCATCCTAACGGGGACCCTGCGCTGGCTTCTGGCCTGGAGCAGGGACTGCAGGGGGGAGGGGTGAGCCGGTACTAGAAGAACCCAGGAGTCCTGGCTCCCAGCCCCCCCTTCTCTAACCCAACCGGCCCCACTCCCCTCCCAGAACTGGCTCCCAGCCCCCC